AGGTAAAAGTACTGGACAGGTTTTTTTTTTTTTAATTATTTTTAAGTAATCTCTACACCCAATGTGGGGCTCAAACTTACGACCGTGAGGTCAAGAGTCACATGTTCTAGTGACTGAGCCAGCCAGGTGCCCCAACAGTAGGTTTTGAAGAAAGTAATGATACACTGCATCTACTCAAAGAGATGTATAGATATGTCATTTTCTTTTTTAACTTCTGCATCTGAAATCTCTTCACGTATTAATGTAGTCTGTAAAATTGGAGTTCGGCCCAGTCAGGGTGGGAAAGACTAGTGGTAACTGCCTGCCTCCATTCCCTGATTTCTTTTCTATGATATGGCACATGGGGAAACCCTCTAAAGTGTGTCGTGGGCAAATAGGGACCAGATCATTCCCAGACTGTGCTCTCAAAAGGGTTGGATGGAAAGGGGCTGGAGAGATCTGGGTTCTAAGATGAAAAACAAGCCAGGACTCTAAGGATTATTTGACTCTATGGTTAATTGGCCCTTGGAGAAGACATTCCCATGTTATCTTCAGACTAACACTCCTCAAAAGAGCTCATTCCCCTGACCCCTACAAGCAAACTTCAAGCAAAGCCTTTTGGGAATGCTTATCTCGATGCATGTGACAAGTCTAATTGGCATCTTGAGTAATGGTTTCCAGAAGAGATTCACGATGTGTCCTCTGGGTTGGGATCCCTGATGCCATATATTTGGTGTCCTCAGTTTGCCTCAGCTGACATCATAGGTCTCCTGGGTTAGGGGGATGTTCTGTTTCTCACAGATGGTGCTCCTCTGTCCTCAAGATTGGTCCATGTCAGGTCAAGTTTATCCTTATTCTAACCCCTGTGATTCCTGCTGAAGAATCGTTCATGTAGTTAAGAAGGGGCTTATTCTAAAAATGCCAGTGCTAGAAAAAATTCTTATTTTTATTTTTTTTCTTATTTTATTAATCAGGAAAGAAGGTATAAAGCTAAGAAGAGAGTGCCTTAAGTGATTAAAAATAGGAGAAAATCCAAAACAGATTTTCTTTAGACTCTGGGCTCACTGATGATTAAACTAGTATTTAATGTAGCTTCTTAATCAGGTCACATTAATGCAAATTCTTATTGCCCAAGCTTGCATTGCCATTTTGGGATGAGCAGTGGCTCAGATATATGTTTAGAGGCAGAGGAAGCATATGCATGATTCAAAGGCCCCACTGGTACAGGTTAAAGAAGTTTAGTTACTTAATCTGTCCTGATGTGTACTACTGGAGTTCAAAATCTGAGCACAGATTACAAGAGCATTATAGAATTACAGTTATTATTGCTCCTGGTGATACTCAGTCACTAGGGTAATTAGTGTCAACAATGGTGACTGTGTAGGAAAATACATTCCACCAGTAAATGGAGATTTTCAGAATCAGACAAGGAAGTCTGATGAACACCTCAGGAAAGACCTGTTTGAATGATCAGTAGCCAGTGTGTGAGTCAGTGTGGACCTATTCAGCGCTCTCCATTCCACTTCTATACTTGTTCTGCCCACAAGTCTCTGCAGAGGGAATGCCAGGTAAGCTAATACTGGGGCTTGAGGTGTCTAGGAAACCTTTATTAGAAGCTAGGGCATCCTCTAGCATTGTCAGCTTATTTCCTCATCTCTTTAGTCACAGGATGATATTCAGTCGGTCCATGTAGAAAGTTGCCAGAGAAGGCCGAAGAAAAAGTCACGTGAGGGCTACAAATCAGAACGGGAAATTATCAGGAAATTTGCCTAAGAGAAGAAGGGAGACATGAATCAGGTGATGGAAAAGCTTACACTATGGAGCCTTACAGAGAAAGCTGGAAACTGAGGAGGAAGGAGATAGGGGAGAGTATGGATACCTAAGTAAAAGCAAAATATGTGGGTGTTTTGATTGGGTTGGAATGATTGGAGGGAGCATGGAGAAAGTTGGGCTCTTAGTCCACAAGAGACTAAGTTTGCAATAGCAATAGGAGGTGGTGGCCAAAAAGATAATCCTAGGCTGCATTAATATGGGGAGAGAGAATAATAAATGGGATCTCTTTCTTACTGGTCAAGTTATACTCTGAAGAACACATTCAGTTGAGTTATCTGCTTTAAAATTTAAGTAGATAATCTGGAATGCATGAAAATCTAGGAAAATGTTGGGGAGGAAAAACACAAAGAGGGATGGGGTGTGGATATTCTGGGGATCAATTTGGACTATTATTGAGTTGGGCTTCACCATGGCGACCAAGCTATCATTAGGATCCGTATTCACGTAAGAATTACATAAAGGGCTGACTGGAAAATCTGGCAGATTAAATGTCATAACCCTAGTTTTATCAGTCTGATTTGAAGGCTCTCAGGTCTACCCAGGACATATCTCTTATTTGTGTTCAGCTATATAAATATGGTGGTTTTGTTATGTGTCCACTTGGCACCTTTACACAACTCTTTAAACCATATTTAATCTCCAAATAAAGGCAATACCAAATTACTCTTCCACCTAACATGATACACCTATCCCATATACAACCAAAAACATATTAACCTTTTGCTAAGAAGAGGATATAAAACACACCAAGCATTTCCCCATAAGAGGACACAAAATCCCCTTTTTACCTTGATACGAAATTCATTCTACTATCTCATTTACACTCCTTTTATATCCCATAATTTAAATACTGATTGAAGTTAACTATGTTAATATATCTGATGTTAGAAAAAGGGATGACCAAGGGGAAGAAAACCAAAACATATGGGTAATATAACATATACAAAATGTTCATATCAAAATAAGGAAGAAATGCCTATAACTATTACACTTTTTATTTCTGCAGCTGCTCTCATGGTCATGGCAGGTGTTTATAACTGTCTTCTTTTACTTTTCATTTCATATTCCCTTTGTCCACAGTTGGTCATGGTTCCTTGACTGTGGAGTGACCCAAACCTTCATTCCTGAAGAATCTGGGCCATTAGCAGTCCTGTCTGAATTGGGTTGTTGTAGCTTTCCACTGACTTCTTTCACAGGACATTTGAGTCCAGAGAGGTACCCTAGAAAATATCCTACATTCCTGACATGCTCATCCTCATCCCCATGGTATAGTAGCAACTCAGTTTCTCCTTACCAGTCAGGATCAATCACACAAAACCAGTAGAATAATCTCTTCTGCTTGTTGATTCAGTGATATGAGGAGCCCAAAGTGGCAGGGTGGCAGTCTCAACTCTCGGTAAATGGAATCGTTGTGTTACCTGGTGGATGAACTCCCTTTGGGCCTAAGACCGCTAAACCAGCAAAGGCTAAAAGTGCAGGGACAGGAAGCAAAAATTTTGCTGGTGGATCATAGTTATAGACATTATAGTGAGAGGACTCACTCCCATTTCCACCTCTTGATTCCTGGTCCTGTGAACCCTTGTGATGGGAGAAACAGCACCATAGCTACAGATTTAGAGCATATAGCACATTCTGGAAGACATTGCTCCAGCAATGGGAGGTATTGTCAACTAGCTGTTGCTGTAACTGAGTCTTCAAAAGGCTGTTCTACCGTTCTATCAAGTCAGTTGTTTCAGGATGATGGAGAATATGGTAAAACCATTAGATTCCATGAGCATGGGCCCAATCCCACACTTCATGTATTGTGAAAGAAGTTCCTTAGTCAGAAGCAATGCTTCTTGGAATAACTTTATGCTGAGGAAAGCATTCTGTAAGTCCATAGATGGTAGTTGTGGCAGTAGCACAGTAGGAAAGGAAGTCAAAACCATATCCAAAGTAAGTGTCTATTCCAGTAAGAACAAAGTAATGTCTTCCACAATGGAAGCCGTCCAACATAATCAGTCTGCCACCAAGTAGTTGGCTGATTCCCCTGGTGAATGCTGCCATATCAGGGACTCTGTGTTGGTCTCTGTTGTTGGCTGACTGGGCATCCAGCAGTGGCTGTAGCTAGACTGGTCTTGTTGAGTGGAGGTCCATGTTGCTCAGCTCATGTGTAGCCTCCATCCCTCCGGCTCTGGCCACTTTGCTTGTGAGTCCATTGGCATGAACAGGAGTGACTGAAAGAGTGCTGTCCACAGAATGGGTTGGCACTTAGATAGGATGACTTATTTTGTGTAATGGGTATTGTTTTATATGAATATATTTTATACAAATATGTATATAATATTTTATATGAATATTATATGAATATTTCACACATTTTTGGTTGTATGCAGGATAGTTATGTTAGGCAGAAGGATGACATTGTTGTGTTTGTTGGCTTAAGGAGATGTGAATGAATGTCAGACCAACAGGGGATGGGCTCTGGTGGTCTTGTAATGTGTCAGCTTGGCTAGGGTGAGCTACATTTCTCAGAATTTCCATTTTTGTGTATTTCTGGAGAAAGTAGGCCATAGGAGAGATTCCAAGGGAGATTTAAAGGGCAGAAGGGAAGGAGCCATTTTGTAGTTTACATATGTTGTTGCTGATCTGCTGACTTATCTCATTGGTGTGAAGTAGCAACTGGACCTGCGGTTGCTCTACCTCCCCCTGGATCCTCCTTTAGCTTCTCTGACTTCTGGGCCAGGTGTGCATGGTTAGCTTCACTAGGAAGGACCCCAGTTTCTGCACAATAACCATACCACCAATTCCAGAGTCAACAAGAACTAACATGGGTTTCAGTCTGCCTTTGTGGGGTTATTATAGCTCATGCTTGTGGGTTCCTGCCTGCTCATGATCTAATGCACTTTATATCCATTTTCCCTTCCTTACCACTTGCCCAATGGACTTCAAGTTCCACCATCAGACACAAAGGTGAGAGCCTTATATAGACTGCTTAACCAGTTTTCTTAACTGCTTTCACAATTGTGTAAGGCCAAGTTTCTGAACAATTCATTAAGTGTATATGTATATACATTTGTACTTATAAAATTATACACATATATACTTATAAAATAGTATATATCTAATATATATAAAATTTAGTGTATATATATATTTTTTTCTTCCTTAATGAGGAGAGACTCTTGTTTCGAAATTTGGCACTTAATAGAATCTAGATATTCTGGAATTTCAGAGTTATCATGTTTGTGCAGAGATTTGAAGGTCTTTTTTTTTAAGTTATTTCAATAATTAGCGCTGTTGAAGAATCAGAAATAGAAAAAAACTCTCTTCACAAATTCTTTGGTAGATCAGAAGGTGCTTACTGTCAGGTGTGCTAAACTCTGTTTTTTTCTGAAATCGCACTTCATCTCTACTTCCTCTTTCCCCAGACACTGAGAAAGGGGAGATGTGGCAGAGGAATCAGACCTCTCTGGCAGACTTCATCCTTGAAGGCCTCTTTGATGACTCTCTCATCCACCTTTTCCTTTTCTCCTTAGCCATAGTGGTCTTCCTTATTGCAGCGAGTGGCAACATGCTCACTATTCTCATCTGTGCTGATGCCCAGCTTCATACACCCATGTACTTCCTGCTCAGCCAGCTCGCCCTCATGGATCTGATGCATGTCTCCACAACCATCCCGAAGATGGCTACCAACTACCCATCTGGCAAGAAGACCATCTCCTTTGTGGGTTGTGCCGCCCAGCACTTCCTCTATTTGTCTCTGGGTGGTGCTGAGTGTCTTCTCTTAGCTCTCATGCCCTATGACCCGCTGTGTTGCCATTTGTCATCCACTTCGTTATACTGTTCTCATCAACAGAAAGGTGGGACAGATGATGGCTGTCACGTCGTGGTTGGGAGCATCCACAAACTCTCTAATTCACACAGTGATCTTGATGCACTTCCCTTTCTGTGGGTCTCGAAAAATCCACCACTTCTACTGTGAGTTTCCAGCTGTTGTGAAGTTGGTGTGTGGAGACATCACTGTTCATGAGACCACAGTGTACATCAGCAGCGTCCTGCCTCTCCTCCTCCCCATTTTGCTGGTTTCTACATCCTCTGCCTTTATCCTCCACAGTGCAGATGGGTTCAGCTGGGAGTAAGAGAAATGCCTTTGCTACTTGTAGCTCTCACCTCATTGTGGTTTCCTTCTGGTTTGGTGCCTGCATCTTCTCATATATGAGGCCCAGGTCCCAGCACACCCCATTGCAAGATAAAGTTGGTTTCGTGTTCTATAGCATCATTATACCCAAGCTGAATCCTTTGATTTATACTCTACGGAATAAGGAGGTAGCTAAGGCTCTGAGAAGAGTGCTGGGGAGAGAGCTTCTCACTCAGCAATTGCCGTTGCCCTGAATATAAGAGTGGAATGGGATAAGCTCCTTAAGTTGATCAGCATAAACCTCTAAGACTTTTCAAGGGTCCAGATCCCTGATGACTACTGCAAAAATGAAGTAGTTAACACACAATGCAGTATTCTAACTTGCTCTCAGGTACCTGAGTACTGTAGAATATTACCTTAGTCCATTTGGGCTGCTATAACAAAAATACCATAGACTAGGTGGCTTAAACAACAAACATTTTATTTTCTCACAGTTCTGGAGGCTGAAGAGTCCAAGACCAATCCTTGAAATTGCTAGACACTCTCTCATTTCCTTTTGATTTCTTTAAAAATGTAACCCCTGCCAAAACATGCTTCCCTCAGTGAAATAAGTCAGGTAGAGAAAGACAAATACCATATGATTTCACTCATATGTGGAATTTAAGAAACAAAACAGATGAACATATGGGAGGGGGGAAATAAATAGAAGGGAACAAATCATAAGAGACTCTTAACGATAGAGAACAAACTCAGGGTTGATGGAGGGAAGAGGGTGGGGATGGGCTAGACGGGTGATGGGCATTAAGGAGGGCACTTATTGTAATGAGCACCAGGTGTTGTATGTAAGTGATGAATCACTGAATTCTACTCCTGAAACTAATACTGCACTGTATACTAACTAGAATTTAAATAAAAATTTGAAAAAAGAAAAAAATGGAATAATTTCTCTAATTTCTCTTTCTACAGTTGCATTGTTAGTGTATAAGAAAGCAACTGATTTCTCTGCATTGATTTTGTATCCTGCCACATTACTGGATTGCTGTATGAGTTCTAGTAATTTGGGGGTGGAGTCTTTTGGATTTTCCACATAAAGTATCATGTCATCTGTGAAGAGAGAGACTGTGACTTCTTCTTTGCCAATTTGAATACCTTTTATTTCTTTTTGTTGTCCGATTGCTGTTGCTAGGACTTCTGGTACTATGTTGAACGATAGTGGCGAGAGGGGGCATCCTTGACGTGTTCCTGATCTTAAGGAACTTAAGCTTTTTTCTCAGCTTTTCCCCATTGAGAATGATATTTGCTGTGGGTTTTTTATAGATGGATTTTATGAACTTGAGGAATATTCCCTCTATCCCTATACTCTGAAGAGTTTTAATCAGGAAAGGATGCTGTATTTTGTCAAATGCTTTTTCCGCATCAATTGAGAGGACCATATGTTTCTTCTCCTTTTATAAATGTGTTCTGTCACATTGATTGATTTGCGAATGTTGAACCACCCTTGCATCCCAGGGATAAATCCCACTTGGTCGTGATGGATGATCCTTTTAATGTACAGTTGGATCCTATTAGCTAGGATTTTGTTGAGAATTTTGGAAACCATATTTATCAGGGATATCGGTCTGAAATTCTCCTTTTTGATGGGGTCTTTGCCTGGTTTGGGGATTTAAGGTAATGCTGGCCTCATAGAATGAGTTTGGAAGCTTTCCTTCTGTTTCTACTTTTTGAAACAGCTTCAGAAAAAAAGGTATTATTTCTTCTTGAATGTTTGGTAGAATTCCCCAGGGAATCCATTAGGCCCTGGACTCTTGTTTTTTGGGAGGTTTTTGATCACTGCTTCAATCTCGTTACTGGTTATTGGCCTATTCAGGTTGTCAGTTTCTTCCTGTTTCAGTCTTGGGAGTTTATAGGTTTCCAGGAAGGCATCCATTTCACCCAGGTTGCTCAATTTATTGGCATATAGTTGTTGATAATAATTTCTAATAATTGTTTCTATTTCCTTGGTGTTAGTCGTGATCTCTCCCCTTTCATTCATAATTTTATTAATTTGCGTCCTTTCTCTTTTCTTTTGGATAAGTCTGGCCAGTGGTTTATCGATCTTTTTTCTTTAATTTTGGTTTATTGATCTTACTAATTCTTTCAAAGAACCAGCTTCTAGTTTCGTTGATCTGATCTACTCTGTTTCTGGTTTCTAATTCATTGATCTCTGCTCTAATCTTCATTATTTCTCTTCTAATGCATGGCTCAGGCATTGTTTATTGCTTTTTCTCTGGTTCTTTAAGGTGTAAAGTTAGTTGGTGAATTCAGGATTTTTCTACTTTTTTGAGTGAGGCTTGTATTTCCCCCTTAGGACCACCTTTGCAGTATCTTATAGGTTTTGGACTGATGTGTTTTTGTTCTCATTGATTTCCATGAATTGTTTAAGTTCTTCTTTGATTTCCTGGTTGACCCAAACTTTTTTTTAAAAAAGATTTTATTTATTTGACAGAGAGAGACACAGCGAGAGAGGGAACACAAGCAGGGGGAGTGGGAGAGGGAGAAGCAGGCTTCTTGCAGAGCAGGGACCCCTATGCGGGGCTCGATCCCAGGACCCTGGGATCATGACCTGAGCCAAAGGCAGATGCTTAACGACTGAGCCACCCAGGTGCCCTGACCCAAACATTCTTGAGCAGAGTGGTCTTTAGCTTCCAAGTGTTTGAATTTCTTCCAAATTTTTTCTTGCAATTGAGTTCCAGTTTTAAAGCATTATGGTCTGAGAATACGCAGGGAATAATCTCAGCCTTTTGGTATCAATTGAGACCTGATTTGTGACCCAGTATGTGGTCTATTCTGGAGAAAGTTTCATGTGCACTTGAGAAGAATGAGTATTCTGTTGTTTTAGGGTGGAGTGTTCTGTATATATCTATGAGGTCCATCTGGTCCAGTGTATCATTCAAAGCTCTTGGTTCTTTGTTGATTTTCTGCTTAGATGATCTGTCTATTGCTGAGAGTGGAGTATTGAGGTCTCCTACAATTAATGTATTGTTATCAATATGACTATTTTGGTTAACAGTTGGCTTATGTAGATGGCTGCTCCCATGTTGGGGGCATCGATATTTACAATTGTTAGATCTTCTTGTTGGATAGACCCTTTAAGAATGATATAGAGTCCTTCTGCGTCTCTAACTACAGTCTTTAGTTTAAAATCTAATTTGTCTGATATAAGAATTGTTACCCCAGCTTTCTTTTGAGGTCGGTTGGCATGGAAGATGGATCTCCATCCCTTCACTTTCAGTCTGGATGTACCTTTAGGTTCAAAATTAGTCTCTTGTAGACAGCATATGGAGGGGTCCTGTCTTTTTATCCAATCTGTAACCCTTGCTGTTCTATGGGAGCATTTAGGCCGTTCACGTTGAGAGTGATTATTGAAAGATATGAATTTATTGTCATCACGTTGCCTGTGAAGACCTTGTTTTTGTAGATTGTCCCTGTGAATTTCTGTTCTATATCACTCTTGGGGTCTCTTTTTATAGAACCCCCCTTAATATTTCTTGCAGGGCCGGCTTAGTGGTCACATATTCTTTCAGTTTCTGCTGGTCTTGGAAGTTCTGCATCTCTCCATCCATTCTAAATGACAGCCTTGCCGGATAAAGTATTCTTGGCTGCATGTTCTTCTTGTTTAGTACTCTGAATATGTCTTGCCAGCCCTTTCTGGCTTGCCAGGTCTCTGTGGATAGGTCTGACATTATTCTGTTGTTCCTCCCTCTGTACATAAGGAATCTCTTCCCCCAACTGCCCTTAAGATGGTTTCCTTGGTTCTAAGATTTGCAAGTTTTACTATTACATGTCGGGGTGTTGGCCTATTTTTCTTGCTCTTGGGAAGGGTCCTTTCTGCCTCTAGGACACGAATGTTTGTTTCATTCCCCAGATTAGGGAAGTTCTCAGCTACGATTTGCTCAAATATATCTTTTAGTCTTCTCTCTCTCCACCCCCTCAGAGATCCCAATAATTCTGACATTGGAATGTTTCATGGTGTCACTTATTTCTCTGATTCTATTTTCATGGATTTTGAGTCGTTTTTCCTTGGCCTCCTCTTTTTCCTTCTTGTCTATTAAGATACCTCGGAATAAACCTAACCAAAGAAGTAAAGGATCTATACTCTAGGAACTACAGAACACTCACGAAAAAAATTGAAGACACAAAAAGATGGAAAAACATTCCATGCTCATGGATCGGAAGAATAAACATTGTTAAAATGTCTATGCTACCCAGAGCAATCTATACCTTCAACGCCATCCCGATCAAAATTCCAATGACATTTTTCAAAGTGCTGGAACAAATAATCTTAAAATTTCTATGGAATCAGAAAAGACCCAGAATCGCCAAAGAAATGTTGAAAAAGAAAAACAAAGCTGGGGGCTTCACATTGCCTGATTTCAAGCTGTTATTACAAAGCAGTGATCACCAAGACAGCATGGTACAGGCACAAAAACAGACATATAGACCAATGGAACAGACTAGAGAGCCCAGATATGGACCCTCAACTCTATGGTCAACTAATCTTCAACAAAGCAGGAAAAAAATACGCAATGGAAAAGAGTCTCTTCAATAAATGGTGCTGGGAAAATTGGACAGCTATATACAGAAGAATGAAACTAGGCCATTCTCTTACACCATACACAAGGATAAACTCAAAATGGATGAAAGACCTCAATGTGAGACAGGAATCCATCAAAATCCTAGAGAAGAACATAGGCAGTAACCTCTTCGGCATTGGCCACAGCAACTTCTTTCAAGACACGTCACCAAAGGCTAGTGAAACAAAAGCAAAAATGAACTTTTGGGACTTCATCATGATAAAAAGCTTCTGCACAGCAAGGGAAACAGTCAACAAAACAAAGAGGCAACCCACAGAATGGGAGAAGATATTTGCAAATGACACTACAGATAAAGGGCTGGTATCCAAGATTTATACACAACTTCTCAAACTCAACACCCAAAAAACAAGTAAGTCAAAAAATGGGCAGAAGACATGAACAGACACTTCTCCAAAGAAGACATACAAATGGCTAACAGACACATGAAAAAATGTTCATCATTAGCTATCAGGGAAATTCAAATCAAAACCACGTTGAGATACCACCTTATATCAGGTAGAATGGCAAAAATGGACAAGACAAGAAACAACAAATGTTGGAGAGGTTGTGGAGAAAGGGGAACCCTCTTACACTGTTGGTGGGAATGCAAGTTGGTGCAGCCACTTTGGAAAACAGTGTGGAGGTTCCTCAAAAAATTAAAAATAGAGCTACCCTATGACCCAGCAATTGCACTACTGGGTATTTACCCCAAAGACACAGATGTAGTGAAAAGAAGGGCCATATGCACCCCAATGTTCACAGCAGCAATGTCCTCAATAGCCAAACTGTGGAAAGAGCCGAGATGCCCTTCAACAGACAAATGGATAAAGAAGATGTGGTCCGTATATACAATGGAATATTACTCAGCCATCAGAAAGGATGAATACCCAACTTTTACATCAACATGGATGGGACTGAGGAGATGATGCTAAGTGAAATAAGTCAAACAGAGAAAGTCACTTATCATATGGTTTCACTTATTTGTGGAACATGAGGAACAGCATGGAGGACATTAGGAGAAGGAAGGGAAAAATGA